CCGTATCACACCTGCCATGATGGTTAGAGAATTAGAGTTGGTCGAACAATTTAGAGACATGAGCTTAGTATGCAAAGTGACATTGCAGAGTGTGATGTTGGGAATGTTGAAGATCAACAATGACTTCATGAATGATATTAAAGAAGCTCATAAGTTGGATGTCAAATTGGTAGATTTGATGGTTGGAAGTAATCAGTCTGAAGATAGTGATTTCAAGGTAGATGCACAAGGTGTGCTGAGGTTCCGAGATAGATTCTGTATTCCTGATGACTCCATATGAAAAGGATGATCCTAGAAGAAAGTCATAGAAGTAGATTGAGTATCCATCCAGGTGCGACTAAGATGTATCAAGACTTAAATAAGTTGTTTTGGTGGCCAGGATTGAAATGTGATGTGGCGCGGTTCATGTATGCGTGTTTGACTTGCCAGAAGTCGAAATTGAACATCAGAAACCTGCAAGGTTGTTGGAACCTTTAGATATTCCAGAATGGAAATGGGACAATATATCCATGGACTTTGTGACGGGATTACCGAGCACTCTAAGAGGGCATGATGTGATTTGGGTGATTGTGGATAGGCTAACGAAGTCAACTCTTTTTATTCCAATCGACATCTGTTTCCCGGTGCCAAGGTTAGCAGAGATTTATATTCGTGTGATTGTGAAGCTACACTATGTTCCGTCAAGTGTTATATCCGATAGAGACCTGAGGTTTACTTCTGATTTTTGGAAGAGTCTGCATGATGCGTTGGATTCTAAATTGAAATTAAGTTTTGCGTATCACCCGCAAACAGATGGTCAGACAAAGAGTAATATTCAGTCGTTAGAGGATTTGTTGAGAGCTTGTGTTCTTGAGCAAGGTGGTATATGAGATAGTTACCTTCCACTGATTGAGTTCACTTATAACAATAGTTTTCATTCCAGTATTGGTATGACACCTTTTGAGGCATTGTATGGTCGGAGGTGCAGAACGCCTTTGTGTTGGTATGAATCTGGTGAAAGTGTGATGCGTGGACCCGGAATTGTACGAGAGACTACGGAAAAGTGAAGTTAATTCGAGAAAAGATGAAAGCTTCGCATAGTAGATAAAAGAGTTACCATGACAAGCGAAGGAAGGAACTTGAATTTCAAGAAGGAGATCATGTCTTTTTGAGAGTCAACCCAGTGACCAGTGTTGGGCGAGCATTGAAATCGAAGAAGCTTACTCCTCGGTTTATTGGCCCGTATCAAATTTCGGATAAAGTGGGAAATGTTGCGTATGGGGTGGCCTTACCACCTAATCTTTTAAATTTACATGATGTGTTCCATGTGTCGCAACTTCGGAAGTATATTGTGGATCCATCTCATATAATTCCGATGGATGACATACAAGTGAAGGATAATCTTACGATAGAGACCTTACCAGTGAGGATCGAAGACTATGAAATGAAGAAGTTGAGAGGCAAGGAAATATCTCTAGTGAAAGTAGTTTGGGGAGGAGCAGCTGGGAAAAGTATGATGTAGGAGTTAGAGAGTAAGATGCGAGAGTGTTATCCAGAATTGTTCATATAAGGTAATTTTCGAGGATGCAAATATTCTCAGTTAGGAAGAGTTGTAAGCCCCATTTAAATACTTAGTCATTGTTTGTTAAATTTGAATTGCTTTAGAATTTTATGGTGAAACTTAGTTTTGAGGGAAATACTGATGATAATGGATTTATGGGATAATACTATTTTATTAATATTATAGTTATTAATATTATTATTAATATTAATATTGTTATTATTATTATTATTATTATTAGTTAAGTATTAGTAATAAGAAAATACAATAGAATAAGGTTAGACCAATTGAGAGAAAGACTATTGTCACGTAGAAACAGAGAAGAGGAGAGAAGAGAAGAGAAGATAGAACTAGGGCAAAGGAAAATTTTCCATTGGTGATATTAACATGAAAGGGTAGTGAGGGTTCTCTTTCCTCTTTAGATTTTTCATAAATGAATTGATGAATGCCTCCTTGGTCTGAATTATGTTGTTTATATGATTATTGTGTGAAATTCGTGAACCCAATGATGTTATTAATGTGTTGTTGTTATGATTCTACTATTGTTGTGTTGTTCATAAAAAAATCCCAAATCTGAAAAATTGTAGATCTAGGGATGTGACGGAAATTGGAGGAATTGATGTACAAATTGGTGTAGAATTGTAGAATAATGAAGTAGAATGAAATCCCTAAGTTAATATGTGAAATAATGTTGTTTTGGACCTAAATTTGGAGGTTGAAATGCTCAAAATGAGTGGAAATCATTCTGATGTGAAAACATAGTTTTTTTGGTCGCAGACTGCCATTACGTGTAAGGCAGGCAGCGTTACGCGTAATGTAGACAGCATTACATGTAAGGCAGGAGCATTACGCGTAAGGCAGAACAAGACAGAAGGCAATACGTGTAACGCATGCAGCATTACGCGTAAGGCAGGGCAAGACAGAAGGCATTACTCGTAATGCAGGCAGCATTACCTGTATGATAGGGCAGGAAACAAGGCAATATGAGTAATGTAGGCAGCAGTACGCGTATGGGCAGACAAAGGTGTAAAAATTCCCGTTTTCGCGATTTCTTCATGTTTTCGCGTATGAAGTGTATTTTCTCGATCAATAATGACTAGTAAGGCTTAGGTGGACATAAGAAGGCTAGTAATAATAATAAATTAAGTGTAAAACTTGGGATTTTATGTGGAATTTATGTTGTATGATAACGATGATGATGATATGTATTGACGAATGTTGAAGGCTTATGCCTTGTGGTTTTATAGTTATGTTGTTACATATGATGTCACGTGTTGCATAGTGATGAGGGCTCATGCCCCGTTGTTGGCCTGTAACGGTGCTGTGATGAGGGCTTATGCTCTGTTATTGTCCAAATTTCCATATGTGATGAGGGTTTATGCTCTGATGGTACCACATGTATTGAGTTGATGGCGGTCTCATTGCATTGCATTGTTTTGAGTTTATGTTGTATTACATGAATGATATGTTATGTTGTGAAGTGTTGTGTGATGTGTTAATTGTGTGATTACTACTCCTTAGCATGTGATATTCTCTGTATATTTATTGAATGAAATTCTTACCCCTTTTGTGTTGTTGTGTCTGTGTTTCCCTGCGAGTACAGATAATCAGGTACCCGAGTAGTGCTTGGAGTGAGTGTTACCTGATCGAGTCCTAGGATTCTCTCTGATACGTAACACGGGAATTGGGAATCTTTGTTATATTTTACTTTATTTCATTTGTTACATATATTCCATTTTACTTATGTTGGACCACACATTTGTGGAGTTTTATTTGTTGTTGAAGTTGTAATAACATGGAATTGAACTAATTTTATTATTTTGCTGCCGATTTGAGCATTTTGAAATAAAGAAGTAATAATATGACTTTAAACTTTATGAATATTTGAAGTATGTGACATCCTGCTTACATATTCTGATATATGTTAATGTAATTGCTATTGTGGGAAAGTGGGGTGTTACAACACCCCCTCAACGCTTCGCGTGAGCAAATCCTAATAGAATGCGTCAATTCGAAGTTCAAGAAAGTTGGGGTACGCTTTCCTCATCAAACACCATCGAAGCCTGGGACGGACAAAAGCAAATACTGCAGGTCCCACAAAAGTCACAGGAACAATACAGACAACTGCATCCACCTGAAGGATGCCATTGAGATACTCATCCGACATGGACATCTCATACAATACAAGAAGAAGAAGAGTGCCCGCGATGAAGCTCTCCCCTGATGCGGGCCTCATGCCTGTCGCCCTAAGTATCACTAGGCCCAAGGACTTCTACTTACCTGAGGAGACATTTTCCAGTGGCGATGGTAATATCTGGAGGAGGCTGCCATAAGTGTACGGTGGGCTCGATCAAGAGAAGATTCAAGCAACTCATGAATGCTAGCTTCGAGAAGAACGCCACACTCGACAGAGCCACGGGGGAGCTTTATCCCCATTATGTTCTACAGATAAGAGTTTCCCGACGGGGCCCCCAACTCAACTATTCCTCTACTCGTGAGAGCACGAATGACCAACTTCAACGTCAGGCGAATCTTGGTCGACTAAGACAGCTTGGTAGACATAATGTACTCCCAATTGTTCATCAATCTGTAGCTGAACGAGACCCACCTGACCCCGTATGTTGGCTCCGACTGTAATATCTCAAATTTGTCCTACCCTTTCATTCAATAATTTGGCTTATGCATCTCATATTCCTCACGTACATATCTTCTGATTAGGCCATCTAACACATCATGCATCATTAATCAATAATTTGGCATGGGATCATGGATTTCGAGGAATTAAGGTTTCCCTGTTCTTTTAGGCTCTCATCTTCACTCAAGTTCGAATCAATTGGTTCCCCAGTAACTGTGGTTTGTGCAACTAGGGTTTGGATTCTTGATTATTGTGAACTTCTCCCCCATCAAGCTACAAGGTTGTCATCTTCAACTAAGGATCTTATTGAGCTAATGCTTTGGTTCTTATTAATATCTCAAGATGTTTCTTCATTCAAAAGACACCTAAGTCAAGAGGATTATGGTTTCTTATTCGGGGAGTTTTAAGCTTGCAATACCCATCAACTGAGTTTCATTGGATTCTCATGTCAAAGCTATCTTGGTTATATATATTTACATATTTATTTCTCGAGGGTTCTTCAAGGCATCGATATGGTATTGGTTATCAAGTCAAGAGCTTGTGAGTTGAATTATAATTGAGAATTTAAAGTTAGGGGCTCAAGGTGATTTGAATTTGTCATTGAGATTTGAAATTGCAGACTTGTAAAGATAATCAAAGTTTTTAAAGTACAAGTAATTCATTCATGATTTATTTTGAAATCAAAGAATAAGTCACAAGCTTCAATCAAAATTTGCAAGACATGTTCATTCAAAGTACATTCAATTTTTATTTTGATTCAAAATTTGGTAAATGGATACATAGTCTAAAGATGAAAGTTGTTCAAGATTATAAGAAATTTCAAGGCATAGCTCAAGTTACATTCAAAATTGCGAGACAAATATCATTCATCATCATTTTGAAAAGAATGCCATTGTCAAATTCGAGGATTCCAAATTCTACATCATCCGCCGCTTAAGGTTATCATATGTCCATTACAAGAAAATTCCAAGTACAAAATCATTACATTCCATCCACCAACAACATCACAAAAATCAAGTACTTTGCATAGAGACATTACATCCAAAAAAAGATCACAAAGGAACCTATCCTAAACCTATTGTTTCCAAACTCCTAATCTTCAAGTTTCGGCATACACCATCAATTTCCAAACCTTCAAGTGAATCCATCTTCATATTCACCTCGATGGCTTCACTATCAAGATCCATCTTTGGCCCATACAATTTAACTTGAACCTGCATTTCATACACCAAAAACAGCCATTCATTCATGTAACCATAAACAAAGCAAAAATAGCCCAACAGAAAAGAGAAGCTAAAACATAATAACACCAGTTCAGTTATGCTAACCTATCAGTTTACCCAAATCAGTTCATCTTGTATCAGATCAAAACCTTAGTAAAATGTCCACAAAACCTTGTCAAAACCGTGAGGAGAGATCATATCGTGTGCACCAATTCATGCATCATTAGCTTACAAACACCAACAGCTCTATGCACAACGACTAAGTCGTACAAGAAGCCCTGCACAAGCCCTGCGCATTACAGAAAATCAGGAAAGTAACAGAATTCAATAAACATCTTTTCCATAACCCCTCTAACGACCCATAACAGAAAAAACCGATCTGCAACTCATAATTAACAGAGTTAACAGAATTTCCAAACTGATTTTTAACAATATCCTAACAGTTTCTAACCTCCTAATCGCCTCTAAGAAACTTCCAGCATAAGAGAATAGATGACAAAAAACCAACAGAACCATAACAGAACTGCTCCTAACTACCTACAACAGAAAAAACTAACTAACAGTTTCCACCTAACTAACTCCCCAACAGTCAAAACGAATCACAACTAACTCTCTTAGCAACCATAACAAAATTTCCAACTAACTTGTTCAGATAACCTCTAATTGCAGTTAACAGAAACTTCAACAGATTTTAACAAACTCTAACTGATTAATCCCCACCCTTCAATATCTAACTGAAACTAATAGATCCAATGGCTTAGACACAATCATCTTCATCTATATAAACGATCCTCTATCTCCTTTCTTCGGTTCACGACCATTTTCACAAATTCACTCTCATCCTGTCTGCAACTTTCCCTCATCCCTCTCACGCCCTCACCATACGCTCTAATAAGTAGTTAGTAATTAGTTTCCTACTTTCCTGCCAAGTAACATTAGTGGAATAGGTCAGTAATTAGTTTCCTACTTTCATGCCAGTAACGTTAGTGGAATAGGTATTGATTGTTAGTTCCACTCCTTATTATTAGCATTCAGTTTCTCAATTCTTTGCTGTATATATATTGTATATATATTCGTGTAATTGTTTACCACATTAACATAGAATCATCAATTCAAATCCCTTCTCTACATGGTATCAGAGTCTGTGGCGGTGGATTTGGTGCCAGTAAATGAGACTCAAGATCAAAGGTTTCGAGAGCAGAGATGATAGTGGTGCTCCAAAGGCAGTGATTTTCATTGTCAAGAGTGATTTTGATTGGAGGAAGTTGAAAATTGATCTGGGAAGATGATGAATTGGCTAGGGCCAGTAGGTGGGAGATATTTCCAGCCATGGGAGTGAATGTGGTTTGAAAAAAATTAATTCATCCTAAAGCTCTGGATACCATGTAGAGAAGGGATTTGAATTGATGATTCTATGTTAATGTGGTAAACAATTACACGAATATATACAGCAAAGAATTGAGAAACTGAATGCTAATAATAAGGAGTGGAACTAACAATCAATACCTATTCCACTAACGTTACTGGCATGAAAGTAGGAAACTAATTACCGACCTATTCCACTAATGTTACTTGGCAGGAAAGTAGGAAACTAATTACTAACTACTTATTATGCTCATATCGCAGAGGCCGTTGAGGCTTCTCATCGAAGCTTTAATCGGCTGAGCTTAACCATCACCTTCGTTATCCTCTGCAACCTACAACGAACATCTCAGATTATCCCTCACTCTCATAACAACAACCTCACGGATTCATATTCTCCCTCGCGCTCGAATACCAGCGACAGAGAAAACGCAGAACAGAGAAGTAGAAGAAGAGGAAAAGTATGAGTCGAGAATCATACCTGAATTCTTTGCGAAGGAGGATCTTCAGTTTTCTCTCCGATATCATCGTACTCGAAACCGCCATTGGAGCGTCTCCGATCGGTAAGCTTCATGCCTTCGGTCATCTCTATTTCTGTATGATGCTAATACGGTGACATCGAGGGGATTTCATAGTTGTATCATGTTCCACACGCGTTCCATTGGATTTCTTATCAAGCCTATGGTTTCTTTTGGGCTAGATTTGATGCGTGAGTAAAAATTGGGAGAGGTTCAGAACAAGAACGAGAAAGGATAGGCGATCGAATTGTTGTAGGTTAGAGGTCGATTGCTCTTCCGCCACCGGAGGCGATTTCCGGGGGGGCGGAGATAGAATCGGAAATCGCACCGAAGAGAGGAGACAGAACTGACTGTGGTACGAAGAAGAAGGAGTTGGAGGGTCACACCCTCTTTGAACCCCAATTTCGTTATCCAATTTCCAGCCGTTTCATGCCTTTTTTATCTCATTTTTTATTTTTTTTGATTATTTTGTTTTTTTAGTAATAATCAGAATAAAAGATGATCAGAAACAAAAAAAAAAGTAGAAATAGAACCAATATGCGTGGGCTTGGCCCGATTGTTCTCATTATACACCCGCATAAGCCCATCACTACTGCTTTTTGTTGGAACCTGGAAGTCATGACAAAAATTCATGATGGGCCGAATTGGACCTGCCTAAGCCTAGTGATGTTTTCAGTAACTTGAAGCTTTACAACACAGCAAAAAAAAACTGCTTGCTGATATATACTCCTGGGCCGAATAACATTACTTTAGGCCCGTTTCAATTTGTTTGAATCTTAAGTTAATAATTAAACAAAAAATAAAAAACAGACTTGGACATTTTTTTCTGAAAATAGGCCTAGCGCTCTGCTACTGCGATACACTCCTATCCTGACTTTACACCCCTTGTTTCCTTTATTTTCATTTTGTTTTCTTTTTTAATTATAATCTCTCTTTCATAATTTTTGTCAATAAAAATACATGATAAAAAAATATAATAAAAACAATAAAAGTGATAGAATATAATAGAATGTTTCTATTAATTCTTTAATTTTTTTTTAGAATTTTTCTCACATAAAAAACTAATAAAAAACTACTTTTTTCTTTTAGTTTTTATTCATATTTTCATATCGTCGTGTCTCGTTATTTTTTACGCGTCTGTTCATTGCGCAAGGTACATTCTTTTTGCTTTCGATCATGTAACATAACAAGTTGTTATGTAATCGAGACATATGGCTTATGCTCACTTTCGATGCGACACGCCTGATTTCTCATCATTCTGAGAAATTCATATCATATTATATGTTGTCCCGATGCATGTGATATTTTATGATGCTTTGTGCATGAACTTCTGATTACGCGTTGCATTCGCAAAACGCGTTTGCTTTTATCTTAGTTAGATATCGTTTTTGATTTTGTTTGTTTCTTGGTGAAGCTTGCTCGACGTGTACTCCCTGCTTCTCTATTGCTTTTGTCTGCTTTCGACGATTGGCTTGCTTGTGGTAGTCGCGGCTATTACTCTTTGTATTTCTCAGCACTTTACTGCTTTCTTTACTGCATTTCTTTATATTTGTGTACGCATATGTTACAGATGATAAGTCCTCAAAAAGAGGCAAGCGGGGAGGGTTTGCAATCAACCCCCACAATTTCGTCTGTGTCATCCTTAGCTCGTGACGCACCATGATGTTTCGAAGTTGTGCCTGCTCTTGTTATCGAGTCGTCAAGTGGGGAAGGGTTTTGCAAACAAACCCCCATGCTTTGTCAGGAGTTCGCATTGGCCGATGCTGACACTCTGTGATTGTTCATATTGCCTTTTGTCTCCTATCTCGATCTCCTATATCTTAGTTAGGTGTTCAGTCGCTTTGGACATCACATTTTTGTTTTACATCCTACTCCCGCTTGTTTGCCTTGGGTGATACGCTCCCCTTGGATAAAGCATTTCCCTTCTTTTCTTTATCGTTTCATGTGTGTGCTCCTTCGATCTTGCTTGTTTTATCCTTGTACATACCATGTTCCCTTAGGATGTACTTGTTCCTTTCGGATGCAAGTTAGACCTTAGGATGTATTTTTTATAATTTTTGCACCCGCCGCAGTTGCGAACCTTTAGTGCCTATGTACCACCTTCCGTGCAATAGGGGATCAAGGTACTCGTAGTTCACCTTTAAAAATGTTAAAACACAAGTGTGTTGGTTAATTTTAAGAGACGAGACATCATCGTCGTATCCGAGTGGAAAACATACTTACTACCCACGATAATGAGAAAGGAGAATTTACGTCATCTCAAAGTGGAGGATATAGCTTAGATTTTAAAATCAACAAAGCCTCGCTCAACACCCAAGTGGAAAATATCTCACTTCACTACATATCATAGAATTATAATAGTTCGCATTACTACCAGGATTGACAAAAGTCTAATCTTTTGAGAAAAGTTTAAAGTAAAAGGCCAAAATGGCAAAATGGTTTGAATGAGATTGATTGACTTTTAGTCTTCTCACAAAAAATGTCAAAGTATTATTAAGTTGTTTAAAGTTTGGTTAAGAAAATATTTTGAAAATGCATGGACCTAAGTCCAAGTTTATTGTGAAAGCGATTCAAGTTTGGAAAACAAGAATAGTTTTGAAAAGGAGGGAGAAGATTTTTGAAATTAAAGAAGATGGGAGGAGATGAAGGGACTATCCTAAATCATAAGGTAAAAGCTAGGGAAAAGAACCGTCTAACTAATGAGAAGCCAATGTAGAATTCCCATCCTTTAGATTTTAAACCAAGCAAGTAAAGATATTAAACCTCTTAAGAATACCAAACTTCCGATGCATTAAGTCTTCACAAAAATTAGGCAGAGTAACAACTGTATATAAATGAATTCCGAATCACAAACAAAGCATATAATCATATTAACCTGCACACAAAGAAAAAAAAACCCAATGTCTCGGGGTAAACCCCAATAACTCCAGACAAAATAACAATAGAAGTCACAAGGTCCCAAGGGTAGTCAATGTCTCTACTCTTAAGTCCAAAAAGTCCATAACTCCATCATGCCAAGGATAGTAACCAAATAGTCCAAATAACATTAAAGTTTTTTATTGTTCAAGTTGATTATTAAGTATCTTTAAAAAGAAAATGAAAGCTCAAGTGAGCAAAATAAAAATGACATAAAGATAAATTCTCAAGTGAGCAAAGATGAAAATAGCATAAAATGAAAATGCTAAAATAAATGGTGCGTAAAAGTAAAGGCGTAAAGTAAAAGCATAAAAATAAAAGTCAATTGTTAATGGGTTAGAAATTAAAGGTTAGTTGAATGGCCATCTTGAAACTTGCATTTGAAAACTCATTAGAAGATTGATAAAATCAAAGCCTTTCAGCAACAAGTTTCATTTATGTTTTGTCAAATATATCATTCATTTCAAATTCTCGAGGCGACAATAAATAATCAACGATGTTTAAATGATTCACTTAGACCAAAGTTTATGAAAGCTCATTAGAGGATTGATAATACCAAAGCCTTTTAACAATGAGCCTCAAGGTTATTGGATCAAAGGTTTCAAATTAAACATACTTGGGATTGTAAACATAGGTTTGGGCCACGAATGATCATTTCTCGAATTAGGATAAAATTTAGCGCTATGTTAAGCAATCGTAAGTGGACTTGTGTAGAAGTCACACCTATTTTGAGGCCGGTCAAAAGCAATCTATGTGCCATATGTTTGGAGAGATGATATGTAAATCATCCTCTAACAACATGTAGCATAAATAAGAAAGAGATAAGATGAAGAGGGAGGGGATCCATTGTATGAAATTAGGGTTTCAAATATCATCAACATTATTCATCCATTTTGGTGGATTTAGTTCCCCAACCTATCAACATCTAAGAACCAATGAGATTGAGGAATTTGTCACCAAATGAAGTCCAAGTTAGAACCAAAATAAAAATAATAGAATAATATTTAGTAAAACAAAATTTAAATGTTTAAATAAAAATAAAATAAATGGTAAAATACACAAAGTATATTAAAATACCAAATAAAAATCCTAAAAAATAATCAGAGGTCAAACATGATTCAATAAATGTTGATAAATTTTTTTAGAATTTTTTAAAGTCAGAAACTATTTTTAGAAATAAAAGAAATAAGTAAAAATAAACTAAAAAATGGTAAAAATAGTAAAATCAGAAATAAAAATAAGAACAAAGTTATCAAAAATTGTCAAAAGACCAAAGGACCTTTCCATAATTTTTTTAGAATTTAAAAATCAAGGAAGATATTTTTAATCAATTAAAATAAGTTAATTAAAGTGAAAAATTAGAAAAATATCAAATCATAAAATAAAATTATGAAAAAATAAAAATCAAAAAGAGAAAAATCCAAAATATTTTTAAGATTTTTTTCAGATTTGTTGAGTCAGAAATGAATTTTTTATGAATTTTTGAAGTTTAAATCAATTAAAATATAAAATCAGAAAATAAAAATAAAACAAAAAAGATATAGACCATTGGATCAATGTCAAAACGCGTTAGTAATCAAATCAACGGGATCTGGCATGTTGTACATATCATGGTCATTAGTGAGTAAACCACTAGATCAAATATTTAAATTAGATTTTAAAAAAACAAGTGGCGCCTTGTCATTGGTTGAAAGATGACATGTTGGTCATCTTCAACCTCCAGCCACGCGAATTGCAGGTCTCTCAAACTGTAAAATAAGGATCTCAGACCAATTTCATTCGCTTCGTCTCATCAAGACGAAGACAAACGTACCCTCGCGAAAAATTTATTTAAAGTGTAGCTCAGTCGATTTGCAAAAAACCAGAAGGAAAAAGTTGAATAGGGATTTGAAAATTCATGACCAAAACTCGCTTCCAGTTGAAAACAAATGATGCGACGAGTATCATAATGATGAGAGTTTCATTGTAGTAGCAAATTTTGAGAGAATTGATGAAGGAATCTACCTATTGAAGTTCAAATTCAGAGCTTTTAAACTTGATTTGGCTAACACGATTTTGGATGCTCTAAGGCTTGGTTCTTCTTCTGTTAGCTTCGGTGGTGTTCAAGGATGAAGAATTTACAAAGAAAATGGATTGAAAAAGGCTATAAAAC